CCTGTTTTCTCACTGATAAATCGATGCATCCATCATTTCCAGTGCCGTTCTTATTCTGTGCAGGGTCACGGGACTGGAGGCAGAACAACCTGGACAGGTCGTGATTGTGATCATGATTGAGGACAACCGGTCGGGTCTCTGTGCAGCGTAGGAAGGAGAAGTCCTGGAGAAAATGTTTATCTACAAATGAGACAAAGACTGAACAGTTTGACCTCAGTGACTCTCAAACCTAAAAAACCCAAAACACTGAATTACCTGTCAGGCATGGCGGTGGCAGTATGATACTGTGGAGCAGATCCCCTTTCCATTGCATCAAAATTCTTCAACTTCTCCTCAAATCATTTTATAGCTCAATCAAGTAACTATGTTAACTTCAGTTGCTATAAAAATGCTGTATATAAAATTTATTTAAGTCATACTTTATATCTTATAATTTATTCAATTTCTCCAGATTATTTTTTCCTCAGAAAGAGAAAAAAATCAGGCAACCTGGAAAGATAAACCAGTTTGCCTGGTTTGTCTGAGCAAACCATCCAAATTTAACAACACAAAACTGAGGAGGAAATTTGGTTTCTGTCTCTTTAAAAACTCCTGGTCTTTCTGAAACTCCGCCTTCAGGAAGTCATCACAACATGGCTCCTTTATTAACCCTTTAACAACGTTTTTACCAGTGTTGCTCTGAGAAGTAGCAGATACTCAGTTCCACCAGGCGATTGCTAATTGCTGCTGGCTAGTCTGAAGGAACTGATTTGGAAACAGCAGTTTTGAGGAGGAGTTACGTACTTGAAGGTGGAGCTAAGTCCACCCAGGCATTTTGAACAGCTGAATGGTTGCCACGGAGATGAAAGGATTTCTCAAACATGCATGAAAGAATCAGAATAAAGCTGCATCTCTGCTAACTGCGTCTTCCTTACAAATGAGGCACAGATTTACCACCAGGGAGCAACAGAGAAATAATCACTCAGAAGGAGAAACTTCTATCCAGAGCTGTAAATATGTCTCCAAGTGTTCAAAATAATCGATGGAGTGTTGGATTACTAGACAAGCGGAGAGCTGCAGCTCTAAAATTGACACAGATCCGTCATGTGATAGTTGCTTCTCGGTGCTCCACTCGAGTGTGTGACACCACACAGCGAATAACAATAATCCGGTTGGTCTCGGCTTCTCGATTTCAGCCTGGGGACTTGACAAACCTTTTCCACGATGACTCACCGGCTGTTTAAGTGTCAGCGTGAACACATGGAACGGATAGCTGACTGTAGTCTGAGTGAAACGCCGCTCAGAGAAGAGAAAAGAAGAAAGAGGCCGTCTCTTCTGCGTTTTCAAAGCAGAAGAGCAAAAAACAAGAAAAGAAGAGGTTTTCTGTTCGATGGTGGGGCAACTTTAGCTTCAGCGAACTTATCTTAAAGCGGCTGTACGTCATTTTTTTGTAGGAAATATGTGTTTTTACACATTTGTCACAATGTTCTGACAGTAGAAAATCTGTAAAAAGATCAATCTTTTCCCTGTGCTGCTGCCGTCTGAGGAAATGAACCACTTCTGACTAAAAGCAACCAATCAGAGCCAGGAGGCGGGTCTTAGAGCTGTCAATCAACATCGTGAACGAGCTCCTGTAATGCTACGCTGCAAAATCTTACCAAGTATTTTTGTCTAGTGCAAATATCTTAATGCACTTTAAATAAGACAAAACTAACTTACAAGTAACTTTTCAGCAAGATTTATGAGCTTGTTTTAAGTAAATTATTTCTTAAAATTTGTGAAAGAAGTATTTACTTCATTAGTAGGTTATTTAATTAATAACAAGACAGTGTTGCCATGTTAAAAGTGAAATAATCTGACAAAGGAACAAGTACTTATTCATCAAAATTAAGGAATTATTTTCTTAAAAAAAGCTCCTATATTTTGCTGAAATGTTACTTTTAAGTTAGTTTTGTCTTATTTAAAGTGCATTAAGATATTTTCACTAGACAAAAATACTCAGTAAGATTTTGTGTTTTTGCAGTGTAGCATTACAGAAATACCGTTTATGCACTGCCATCGATGGCTATGCTAACTAGCCGTAGCATTCACAACAAGCTATGCTAGCTGCAGCATAGCAGGGAGCAAGAGAGGGAGCGCCAAGACCCGCCTCTTCGCTCTGATTGGTTGTTTCTAATTAGCACTGGGAGAAGCTTGATTTTTTTTCACAGATTATCTGACTCATGACAAAGTCACAGTTTCAACAAATACATGAAAATATTTTTTATAAAAGTTACATACTGCAGCTTTAAGACCAAGAGAGGAGGAGGAAAAGGGAGGATGAGTTCTGCTTTTCTCCTGTGGGTCTTTCCAAACTTAACACACATTTTCCAGAGAAAGACTGACGGAAAGGGTGAGAAAGAAAGAAAGAAAGAAAGAAAGAAAGAAAGAAAGAAAGAAAGAAAGAAAGAAAGAAAGAAAGAAAGAAAGAAAGAAAGAAAGAAAAAAAGAAAGAAAGAAAGGAAGAAAGAAAGAGTGACGGATGAGTAAAAGTTTCAGAATCTTGTCGCTCTCACTGCATCCCTGAGAGCAAAGGAGTCGTTGCGTTGAATCTAGGGAATAAGACGTAATTCACACTCCCAACTTCTTCTTCTGCACACACAGTTAACGAGCAAATGATTGAAAAGTAAGAAGTTAGAGCTGTGGAAGACAGAGAGATAAAGAGAGACAGATGAAGAGAGAGAGAGGGGAGCCAGAATGGGAGAAATTTGCAGAGAAACGGTAAAAATGTGATGCAGAAAGCTGCTGGGATCAGATACAGGCGGTAAAACGGAAAGTGTGGCTGAGTAAGGGAATATGGGACAGAATGTTTTCATTGGAGGAACACTCTGATAGGTGTGTGTGTGTGTGTGTGTGTGTGTGTGTGTGTGTGTGTGTCATGGGACTTCAGCTTCCTGCAGGAACTGACACACACAGCATTTCTAGTGAACCACTCAGGACCAAAGTCAGCACCCTGCTGAAAACACACACACACACACACACTCACACACACATCTCCAGACTTCAGGCTGCACGGCGGCCCCTGGAGGAGCGTTAGCGCAGGTATGGAGGGTTTGGCACGTCACACACACCCCAGGAGTGATTCCTCTCCTTCCCTTTCATCCCCCGTAGAGCCGAACGAGAGACAGGACCAGGAGAGGCTGAGAGGGAGCTAACTGGATATTTACCACATTCAGCAGTATCTCGTTTCCCTGCAGGGATCCAGTCAGAGGAAGTGCTTCGCCGCTCCCTGATAGGTTGAAAACCAGAGCAGGGAAAACTCACTAGAGCAGAAAAACACCTAACTGTTCTTTTTCTGCCAAGATATGGGAAAAAGTGTGTTGATACTTGCTAAAAAACTCGCGACAAAAGGCGAGGATGAAGCTGGCTAACATTCGGGGTGTCCATGACAACAGGCTGGGAGTGTGCTCCACTGTTTGTTAGCACCTACAGGACAGATGTGGACATTAATGTCCGCCTGGTAACGCTGCAGGATTCAACTCCTCTGAAGTAAGGGAGACACCTGGAACAACACAGCTGCATACCCAACTATACGCAAGTAAGAGTAGCACTACTTCAACAGATTTTTACTCAAGTAAAAGTAAAAATAAGCCATCCAAGAAATTACTCAAGCAACAGTGAAAAAATATTTGGTGAAAAAAAGCTTCCATTCTTTACTTCCATTTGGGTTTCTATGTCTTTTAAAAACAGGACAAGCTCTTAAAAAAACACCCTGGCATTTTTCAGCAGAAAATAATGTTTTTGGTCTTTGTTGGTGTCTGGAAAATGAGCCATTTCAAAAACCTCCAGAGTGTAACATCACAAATCAGCAGGCACTGCCCGTTACCTAGCAACCCAAGCAGAACCCAGTCGGTTACCTAGCAACCTAAGCATAGCGGCACCGCATTTGGTCAGCTGGTGTTACGACTGCATTCGTTGTACAACGGCTGTTGGAAAAGTCAAGTGTTTTCTTTTTGTATACCTGCAATACAGAAACCATTTGCTGCATCTTTGTTGGTTGTACAGGAGGCTCCACTAATGCTATTCAAAGACTTATGGTTGTATAATTGTGCATCTGTTTGCAATCAGTGTGAGTGTAAACGTTGAGCTATGGGTCCTGGCCAGCAGCAGCTCATTTGCATTTAAAGTGACAAGACGCCTGGAAACATCTCATTCTGAAAGGAGCTCAAAATACGCAGAACTAAACTGCGTATTTTTATCATTAACTAAGAAAGAATTTGTGGAAAAAATGCAAACATGTTTTGTATCGCCCTGGTCAACTTTGGTGTTTTATAGACCAAACTGAAAATTATTCATATAAATAACAAAATCAGGCAAAATTATTTTTTCACATCAATTTCTGTCAATATAAAACTTATGATAAACTTATTAATAAAAACAGTGTGTGTCTGTTTGGTTGAAACAAGTTTCTTTTGCAGTCAGTGAAAGTCAAATAAGAGTAGCAACACTTCATCATAAAGTCACTCAGGTAAAAATTACTGAGTAAATTTAAGCAACCATTTCTTCTTTTGTGATTTTGTGGAAGATATGATTTAAGCAATTGTTACTGCAGAAGGTTATAAGCAGATGTGAGGAAAAATTCAGAGTTTTTGATTTTTTTCCCTTGTAAAAAAAAAAGGCTAATGTTGAAACATAAATGCATGCAAGTTTCCACTTGGCGGCAGAAGCAAGAAGGAAGTGACAGACAGACTTGGAGAAGATCTTACTGAGGAACAAGTAAAAAAAGAAAAGCTCATCCATCCATCTCTCAAACTTCTTCCCCAGATATCAGACAGAGAGAAAATCTATCACTCCTCCCTCCANCTCTNCATAAATCTCCTCGTTTCTCCTCTACATCCATCTCCTTCATCTAACACTTTTCAAAAGTCCCTTCATCCTTCATGTTTGTTCACAAATCTTTCCCAGCAGGAGTTTATCTCCTGTTGTGGATCAGAAAGAGTCTCTGGAAGTTTATTAAAGTGCTTCAGGTCATAAAAACTGACCTGTCTGGACGGCGGATTCATCCCACGTCCCTCCTCCTTCCGACGGTTCTCCTTCTTCCACCGCTGAGGGGAAAACAGCAGAGACACAAAGAAGACGGAAACTTTATGACTTGCATACAACAACTTGCATTTTCAAAGATAATAACCAACATGAAGGATATGAATTTTATTAAACAGGACAGTTCAGCAGAAACATGAAACATTACATGTGGTCAGTGCTTTTATTGATTTGTTTGATTCATAGCTTTAAACTGCATGGAGTTTTATTTTTGGAGAACTTTCAGCTGTTTACTTCCTGGTTGCACCTTGAAAAGAGGACGACTTCCTTAAAGCTCCAAAGCAAAATGATCTTTAAAGTGTTTATAAACTGTAAACTATATTTGCATGTACTAAACTGTGCAGCATGAGTAAAGTGACCCCTCCGACCCCATGTAGCGACAGACATAAAAACATTCTTCATGTTTAATGTTCTTCGGGCAGGTACAGTTATTCCTCAAAATGGAAAAGATGCCACCTTCAGAGACAGAAACTAAAGTCCACACAGCAGGTTTGGAGGCTCAATTGTGATATATATATATATATATATATATATATATATATATATATATATATATATATATATATATATATATATATATATATATATATATATATATATTTATATTTATATTTATATTTATTTATTTATTTATTTTTTTTTTTTTTTTTCAGAAATACAATTTTTTTTTTGCCTGGTTATTAAAGAAAACAGCAATAAGATTTTTGTGTGAACGGTTTACGACCCGCATGCGCTGAGGAAGAAATCTGATGCCACACAGCAGAGCTCTGTCTCCATGTCTGTTGGTAACAAGAGTGGCGGGATTGTGTCGTGACGCACTTCAGTGAAAAAGACTTCTTCATAATTTCATAATTATAATTGTCAGCCATTGTTTACGTTTAGATTTACCGTCTGGCTTCTTCCGGTGCAGAATTATGACACATGTCTTACATCAATGACATGAAAACCAGATAAAATCCGACACTCCAGACTGCAAACACTTTGAAAACAATCGGATTGATGCCTGTTTGTTTTCAAAGGGCATGAAAACAAACGGGCCTGTTTAGAGACACAAATAAGTTTTCTTTGAGGGGGTGAAAAGATCGGAAATGGCTTGTGTTTGAGGGAAAAAGGCGGATTTGGGTCGTCTGTGTGAACGTAGCCAATGATGGGGCTCTGGTGAACCATCAGAGGCTCCAACCTGAGGAAGCGCCAAGATTTTCTCACGTTTAAAATATTCAGAAAATAAACTGATGACAAACTAAAAACAAATAAAACACAATAAATATAGGAAATATAATCTGGATACAGTTTAACGAGCCAGCTGACAACTCTGATATCGTGGGATCTCTGCGACACGTTCACACGCTGAGCCGATCACAGGAATGTGATACCAACTTCCTGGGTACGACGGGAAGAAGGGAAGCACAGCTGGCACACAAACAGGAAACGGGCGGAGTCAGCACACAATGGGATTTCCTCTTCCCCCTTTCCCCAGCACGCAGCGTCGCACCTCTCCCCGCTTACGCACGGCCGCTTCTGATCCCTGAAAATCCTCCACTCTGCTCCCGCTCCCACCGCTGACCTCCGCCCTCCCTCCGCTCCCAGAACAGCAACACCTCCCTCCATGTCCGCAACAACTCCCCCCGGACCGCCGCCGACCTCGCATCAGAGCCGAGCCAAGAACTTGGATCAAAACAAGAAGTTATAAATCAGCCGATTGTTCCTTCGTAAAGATAAACTCTGCAGCAGGAGCTGAACTCCACTTCTGTCAGGAGAAACGTCTGATTAGCTCCCTATATGCTTTTTAACAAGTGGCTGTAACTTTCTGGATAAATAAATACAATCCTGGATGAGTTGCAGGTTTTTACGGAGAGCGATGCTTTCTGGCTGCATGCTGTGTGGAGTAATGATGCTCTGACCGGCTGCTGCTGTCAGCTGTGTGTGAAGGAAGGGAATCCCCCTAAAGTACAGATCAAGCTTGTTTCTGATGCTGATTTCTGGTTTTCTGTAGTTGATTTTCTTTCCAATGATTCTATGGTGATCCAAGTTTATCCATCAAACCATCTGTGCCTTTCCTCTGTCTTTTATAACTGAAGTGCATTTGATCCCATCCAGACCAAATAATTTTCAGCTCTGATGTATTTAATAAACAAGAACAAAATCAGATTTTTGGGGATTCGACAGGAAAGGTCTGAGTCCGGATTTTTGCTTTCCTATATTTAAATATTTGCTGATGCCAAAATGTTCTGATTGGGTTTTTTTTTTTTTTTTTTGAACAAAAACAAAACAAAATCAGTCTGCAGAGTTGCTAAATCTGTATTGAACAACCAGTATTTTTACTGAAACGACTCAGTACCTGTTAGGAAGCAGGCAGCATTCCTGTTGCAGCTAAAGATATGTTGCTCTTCCTGTAATACTTTCAGATAGCGCTAAACGTTTGCACAAAACAAAACTTTATATTTGCATTTTCTCCTTTTCAAAACTAAGATATCTTAGAAGAAATAAACGCTGTGGCCTGACCCAGTAATTAATCTGGCAAAATCTAAAAACTAAAATTTGCTGATTTCCATAAAGGTTTGTATTTATATACAGTCTGTGACAATATTATGATATTATGCCAGTGTAGATAGCAAAAAAAAAAAAAAGGAATCAATTTCTGCCAAAAGAACCCTGAAATTTCTAAATTAATCTCAGAAATTTTCTAGAGCAAAAACTTCTTTCTGAGCTTGAAAAGAAAAAAAACTGTCACATTTCCAGAAGTCGAAAATTTTCAACTTTTGAATTCAGAGGTTTTATTCTAGAAAATTTCTGAGATTAATCTGAAATTTTCTGAGTTTGTACCTTGAAAATTTTCACCTTTTGAGGGTTAGAAATTTATTTTTTTTATAGAAAATTTCTGAAAAATGTCAAAATGAAACTTTTCCTCTGGCTTAAATTTTCAAAGTAAAATCAGCCAAAAATCAATTTAAAAGAAATCAACATCAAGTTCTGTACAAATCCTGGATCGGATTGCTGTCTGCCTGACCTGGACTGATTACCAAACCTAAAGATCAAAGAAAAGCTGCAAATGTCAGACTGAAGCATCTATAACAAAAAGAAGATTTAGGATTTTTTTTAAATAAAATGCTGCGATTGGAAGAGTAACTTTGGATCCGATAAAAGCCCGTTTTTCCTGATGAGGCTGTAGGGAATAACATGTGTTTCATTAGCCAAGCACACACACACACACACACACACACACACAGCTTTATTTAGACTCTGTGTCGTCCTTGGAGACTCGCACATCGTGAACCGTTAGTTTGTGCAGCACATGTGCAACTATGTGCAGGGAGGGAAAATGAGGGAGCAGAAATCTGCATCTGATTATTAACATCTGAGAGGAAGAATGAGTGGGAGAGGTATAAAGAAAAAAGTCCAATTAATATCTTTACACTAACAAGAAGAAATCCTTCCTTTGGAAATTTAAAACTGGCAAAAGAAAACAATTAACAACCCAACAACACCAGTAACTCTGATTTTTACACCAAAAGCAACACATTTATACTCCACTCCTTTCATTTCCTCCTGAACACCTGCAGAAACGGGTCAATTAATAGATTTCCGTTTTTAGTTGCACGTAGGAGTGATGTCCAGAGAGTTTTCTCACATTAAATCAAGAAATCTCTGGACTTTTTGGCACAGCAGGACGAGGATTTTCTGCAGATAAAATGCCGTCATTGCATGAAAGAAGACACTGATTTACACAGAAGACAGAACATGAAGCATGTTTCATTAAATCTGTATGGAAAATGCTGAAAAAAGCTCCCGGCTTGATGCAGATGTTACACCTCTGGATGCTTCCTAACTAGTTAGAAAAACTACTCTCCACCTTGGATGTTTTACCGTTTTGTTGCTTTTGTAACTCAAGCACTATCAACAAAATCTGGCTTTTTATTTTCACAAATAAACAATATTTAATGTCAAAGTGAATTAAGGTATCCGAATCTTTTCCACAGTACAGAAAAAGATTTTTAGCTTCTAATGATGAAAACAAGATCAAGTTTTGTTGTTTTAATGCAAATAAATTACTTCCCCTTTCAGAGCTCAGATCAAACATTGATATATTAACACTTATTGAAAAATAACTGAATATTATTTCATGCTTTATACAAAAATAATGACAACTAAATAAGAGTACTTAAAGTAAAATAAGTAGCATAAATATTCACCTTTTTCTAGTCTGTATTTAGTAGGTTTCTTCCATTCTTCCTGCTAAACTGCTAAAGTTCAGGTTGATCAGCTCTTTTGAAGTCCTCCCACAAATTCTCTATCGGATTGACATCTGGGTTTTGACTAGGCCACTAAAGAACAAGGTGGATCCCTTCTTGTCTTCCTTGTAGTTTCAGCTGGAGGTGGTTCAACTTAAAATGTTAAAATAAGTGAACTCAATTTAAAAACAAACTAGTTTCTATGTTTGAACGATAAACATTTATTGTTTAA